CTGGCGGATGCACTATCCAGAAAACCGCAGTACAATAGTGCGAAGTCAGATGTAATCAAACCCATAGTACAAAACAATCAACTGGCCGCTAAAGTGATCACCAGATCCCAGGCAAAACAAGAAACATTGACGGACAATGATATCACCCAAACTTTTAAACTAGCATTGGCCACCAATGAATGGTTTTTGAACCACAAATCCAGTTGTCTGATGAAAGAGGACTTGGCCTGGGTGGGAGGGAAGTTGTTTGTTCCAGCCAACCAAAGACTATGCTTAATGGAAAGGTGCCACGACTCCAAATTAGCTGGACATTTTGGTTTTGTGAAAACTTACACCTAATTAAAAGACAATTTTGGTAACCATCACTAAAAAAGGACATAGAAAGCTATGTAGCTAGCTGCCCCATCTTGCAGCAGCAAAAAGACATCAGGGGAAAACCCCAGGAGTCTTACAGAAAGTACAGAGCCTTCTGCGCCATGGAGAGAGATTGCTATGGATTTTATTGTAGAACTGCCAAACAGTGCTGGAAATACTGTTATTTGGGTCGTGACAGACCTGTTTTCAAAACAGGCCCATTTTATACCTTGCCAAAAGATCCCAACTGCTAAAAGTTTAGCCAAATTATTCCTAATACACATTTATCGGCTTCATGGAGCTCCACAAAGGATCATCTCCAACAGAGGGATTCAATTCACCTCCAAATTTTGGAGGGCATTTTTGGACCTACTTGGTACTGCCCAGGGGTTGAGCTCTTCTCATCATGCGTGTACTAACGGGAATTCTGAAAGAGTGAACTCAGTGCTAGAACAATATTTAAGATGTTTTATTAATTTTCAACGGGATAACTGGACCGAATTTTGACCTTTTGCTGAAGATGCATTTAATAACTCTGTACACTCGAGTACTGGTTTTACCCCTTTTAGGGTAGCAACAGGCCAGGTTTTCAGCCCTATATCTGAACTACCCACACAAGAACCCACCATCCTCTCACTTAAGGAGTGGATGGATAACTTGCAAAACACATGGCCAGTGGTTAGATTAGCCTTAAAGGAAGCTAGAGAGGCTTTTAAAATTCAAGCTGACAAGAAAAGGATGGAACCCAAACCTTTCCATGTTGGAGATAGGGTATACTTATCTACAAAATTCCTGAAATCTTTACAGCCATCAAAGAAACTAGGGCCAAATTTCATTGGACCTTTCCCTATCACTAGGGTCATCAATCCAGTAGCAGTTGAACTACTCCTTCCAAAGACACTCAGGGAAGTCCACCCAATATTCCACAATAGTTTACTCAAACGATGTTAACTCAAAGACACTCAGGAAAGTCCACCCAGTATTCCACATTAGTTTACTCAAACGATGATAGCATTTATATATAATAAGTGACACAGAGAACATGAACAAGAAAAAACAGCAGATTTATATATATATAAATAATTTATATTTTATATATATATATATATATAAAGCTATATATATTTCAATCTTTTGCAAAAGGATCCTCCCATGAAAGGGAGGATGTCTGACCACTTCGATTACACGGTTTAAATACAGTTTTCAGGATACAGAAGCCCGATACAAACGGATACAAACGGCCCACCAGGGAATTGGTTTCAGGTCTTATATAATATATTGGGCCCATGTTCCGCCCTGGAAATTCCCCTCCAACAATACCCTTCGAAAATATCCTACACAGATGTTTACACAGATGTTTCCATGCTAAATGGTATCGTCATTTGTGGACCTCCCCTTCTGGAATGGGCAGGCCCCAAACAGGCCCATTTCGGAATTTTACCAGAACATCCATTTCCTCAAAAATATGCATCATATATCCTGCACAATAAGCATCACAGGAACAACACAGTTTCCTTTCTCATGTCCTCACTACCAAGTTATATAATCAGGTTATATCAGGTAAAACATGGCGTTTAAAATGGCGTTACTCAGGTTATGCTTTTTAGAAGAATAATTCATATTTCTCTCAATCCCCCCTTTTCCTTTTTTATCAGTTTTATTATTCCTGTAAATTGCAAATGTCTGGCAACATTATACAAACTTCCCGTTAGCAAATCCCAAATTCCTTTAAAAGCAGTGTTTTCAGTTATATGTGTTACATATGTAGTATGTAGTGATATTATGCACTTTTTGCAGTTTAGACTCGAGGAATTGTAATTTATCGGATATATCAACATATACTTGGAATTCATCATATTCATGTCTCATTCTTAATAACATAGCCATATGAGTTTGTAATAGAGATTTTATTCCTCTATATGCTCCATCCCCATATAGTCATATGATACTATAGGTGTTATATGTCATTTAATAGGTTCTTACAGGGCATAAATAATTAGATGTAGTTCCTTCTCAGGACTAGGTGCTTCCACATTGTTCATGTCCATGCACATGTGACTCATCAATTGTTTCCAGCGTACCATCATGTGTAGCTACTTTTGTAGCAACCTTATTAGGAACACGGTTACTATGATCACGACTCTCCAGGAACGGGCATTCCCACAAAACATGTTTTCAATATATCAGAGACAGTAGTCTCTTCTCTTATATAAAAGGATGAACTGTTTAGGGCTACCGTCATTAAATCCAGAAATAAATTGCCATCCTTCTTCGTATATCTTATCGGTGCCTTAAGATAGCCAACAGGGCATCACCCCATATAAAAGATAATTGGGTCAATGCAATATTACCACATAAAAACATCAGTTTGGAGGGAGCTTCAATTCTAGATATGGGAAATGTAACCCCTCTTTCGTAATCCTAAACTTCTATAAGAAGGGGTATAATTACCATATCACTCAGTGCATTGATTGTATAAGAACTCCATTTTGTTGAGAGATCTTTGTACTGGGAAACTATTTCATATGTATGGTTGCACCTGGGGTATTTCCCCAACGGTACACCATCATCAAGAGATGATCTAATACAAATCCCAGCTTCATCTGTAGTTTCTATCAGGATTAGTGGTGACTGTATCAGGGAATATTGGTGCTCAAATTCGGTATGGAAACATAGCTGCTGCCATGTTATGGGATAACTAGGCAACACAGCCTAAGTCTCCATTCCTATCTGCACCTGTAGTATAAGATCCCACAAAGTAATTACTATCATCACTGCAAAACCCATCTTCCTCCCCTTGAAGAGCACTCGGAGGCTCCAACTGGTCCAGAATGCGGCCGTGCGGGTAATTATGGGTGCAACTCGTTGCGCCCATGTAACATCTCTCCTGTGCGAGCTGCACTGGCTCCCAGTGGTCTTCCGGGTGCGATTCAAGATGTTGGTTACCACCTTTAAAGCGCTCCATGGCTCAGGACCTGGGTACCTACGAGACCGCCTTCTGCCACTGATAGCCTCCCACCAACCAGTCCGCTCCCACAGAGAGGGACTCCTCAGAGTGCCATCAGCCAAATTATGTCGGCTGGCGACACCCAGGGGGAGAGCCTTCTCTGTGGGAGCCCCTGCCCTTGGGAATGAACTGCCCCCAGACATACGCAAGATCTCTGACCTCCGAGTTTTCCGCTGTGCTCTTAAGAACCTGCTCTTCCGACAGGCAGGGCTAGCTTCATAATTGAGTTTTAAATTCAGAGTTCTTAAATTGTTTGGGTTTTTTAGTTAATTGGCCTTAAATGTAATACTTTTAATAATTTTTAAATTTAAATTGTGATATTTGTATTGTGTTTTTACCTGGCTGTACACCGCACCGAGTCCTTCGGGAGAGGGGCAGTATAGAAATAAAATTATCCTTATCCTTACCCTTATCCTCCCTAGTGGACTAGGCCCCCTGTTTAAAGTATGTTTTAGATGTGTAAAAGCAAAAAAGCTTACCATTAGACTTCAAGTCTTCCAGCCGATCATAGGGAACTTACATCCACTGGATATCACAGCATTAATTTACACTATTGATTTACACCATTCAATTATATCTTGTCTTAATACAATCAAAAACACAATAAAGATTATTATCACTCCCAACCAAATGCAGATTTCTTCTTCCATCCATTGGTCATCAATTGTCTTTGGTTTGTCGTTGAAAAGTCAATTTAAGAGGATTTGTAGGTGCTGTAGCAACTGTCCATCCGTAAGGCGAAGCCACCGGTCCTTTCTTTCCTTTATAGACTTTATCAGGACCCAGTCACTGCTTTTGTAATCATGCACTTGGAAATCAAGAGGTGGAGTTTGTGTCCATAGTCCTTTAGACCTTAAACGAGAAAAACACAGGGACAGTCCCTGTATATTTTTCTAAGTAAGACATCTTTAAGCTTTATACTCAGAGTCCCATACTGTCAGTATAGGATAAACCAAATATCATATCATATACTAAAACATCTTTTCGTTAGATGGAAAAGAGATAAAGGCAAACATTTTGTCCAAAGAACCTGGAGCTCCAACATTCACCTTTTCACTGAATGTTTTTATTGCCAATATGTTTATTGCCAATCAATCCCCAGTTGCTCCATTACCCTTATCATTTGGACAGTGAAATGTGTACCCCATCAGCTTTCATTAATATCAACCAATATTTGGGTATTATTTGCTCCAATATGATTTTAACATCTGAAGCATTAAATCTGAGCATTTAACATCTGAAGCATTAAATCTGAGCATTTACCTTTGCACAAGGAAACGCTTCAAGCCAGCCAGTAAAATAATCCACTATTACTAGCGCATATTTCAATGTTCACACTGCCGGCATTTCAATGTAATCTACTTGGATTCATTGGTCAAATCTCTACATGTTTGCACATAATCTCTTTTTTTTTACACAATGTATTCATGCATTCGTATACACTGTAAATAGCATCTCCCCACTTGTATGGCTATCATTTACATGCCTCTACAAATATATTTTCGTTTAACAAACTCAATAAGAACTTGGGTTCCCCGATGAGTTCCCTCATGCACACACTCTTTTTTTTTTTTTAATTGAAAAAGTTTTCAAATACAAATTTTTCCCCCATTTTTCTCCCCCCCCTCCCTAACCCCCCTCACCACCCATCCCCCCGTGACTTCTTCACAACAAAAACCTAATTCATAACAGATTATATAATATTTTACCATCCCCTTACTCCCTCCTCTAAATACTGACCCTTACTTGCTAATAATATTATTAATATTGTTAATTCCCCCATTTACCATACATTTCAAAAAAAAAATATATATTCTGCTATAACATTGTATGATAACTTCTAATTTAGCATAATATTATTATAACTCCCAATTTAGCAATAGTCTGCCCTTTTTCTCCTCCCCCAAACTTATATCTGTATATTATTACAACATTTCAAAACAACCTTCCACTTTGAAACTATATAATAAATCCTACTTTAACATATAGTCTTTTGTGTATATTAATATAACATTTCAAAGCAGCCTTCCCCATAAATCCTAATTTAACATTTATTCAACTCTATCCATTCCTCCACTCCCCTAAATATATCACTTAAACATCCCTTTTCTTAAACTAATCAATCAGTAAACTAACCTATTTCCACCCAGTTTCCTACAAAATTGCCATGCACAACAATTTTTAATATCTTTAATCCACTGCCCACTCTGCTAATATATTATATATATATATATATGTATATATTCCGTTATATAAAAAAAAAGACAATGACTTTAAATTTATAATCCATATAATATCTTCTTTAATGTCTTTCCACTGGATTGTTAAGTCCATCATCCATAATAGGGTAACATAGCTTCCTGATGCAACAGTTTGTTCAAAATCTTCAATCATCATCTGCCCCCATCAGTAGTAAATATCCTCATATATATATAAAAGTAAAAGCAACCACCCGAGTGACATTATGATTATATTCCATATAGTTGTAACTGTGGCTTTCATCAGGATTATTAATTCCCATCATCCTAGTGGGTAACAACCAGATCTTCTGCATGCCCCAGCGTAACTCTCTTGCCTTGTAGCTCAGGATAGTTATAATATATTTATCAATACAAGAAAGAAATCCAAAGTAGATAATTCAAATCCAACAATTTAAGGCTCTTTTCACATCCCAAAATTACGGCATTGCAGAGGTCTGTCACTGTCCTCAGGATAATATTAACCAATACTTCGCCTCCACTATCTTTTCGCATATTCATTCCTTTTTTTTTTTAAATCACTGGCTTCACTGTTGCTTGATTTAGAAATTTCTATTTTTGTGAGACCTATTTCTTTTTTTCTTTTCTTTTTGTGGGTTTAATTTCCATCCTGGTTTCCTTTCTACAAGTTGTATATCAACTGATCGGTTTTCATTCTGCTTTATAAGTTGGTCTTGTTGATTTTGTTTTTGTATCTCATATTTCTTCTTTGCCAAATGTATATCAGCTAATTGGTTTCCATACTTGTCTTTGACTTGATGAATCATCACGTTGGAGTCAGATGCCACTTCTCTCATATTTGTAGATAATCCAGCTGGTGTATCTAAAGAATCCAAAGGCAATTTGTCTACCACAACCTCTGTAATTCGATGTTTTCCCTTTATTTCCAACTCCTTCTGCTTATCCTGTATTATGCCTAAAGATGTTAAGTTCATTTTCAAAATTTTTTGATAAAATTCTTCCGCTCTTTCAACAGTATTTAGTTGGTATCTTTCTCCTTGATATCTCAATATTATACCAACTGGGGCATCCCACCTAAATGGAATATCTCTTTTTTTTAACTCAGTCACCAGAAAACCAAATTTCTTCCTTTCCGTTAACATCTTGGGCGGGAGCTCTTTGTAGATCCAAATCTTTCTTCCATACAATTGCAAAGTAGAATTAAAGGAATTTTGCACAATATTATTCCTAATTTCTTTATCTGTAAAATAGATCACCACATCTCTAGGCAATTGCCTTTGCTTTGCAATCCAGGAGTTTATTCTATAAACTCTGTCAATCCTACAAAACACTTCCTCAGGTTGAACCTTTAAAATCCCGGCCAGAATTTCAGAAGATGTTTTCCTTAAATCATCTCTGTTATTTTCCTGCAAACCTCTCAGTCTAATCGCATATTCAGTGAAATTATATTGCATCATTAAAACTTCTCTTTCAATCCTCTGTTGCAAATTTTCTATATTACCAGTCTTTTGATCAGCCTCCATTTTAGGTTTGAGCTATTATCTTGAGTATTTGTCAAATCATTTTCAATTTTTTGGATTCTATTGTCCAAATTATCCTGAGTTTCTTCCATTTTAGACTCTAATAACTTAGTATTTGCATCCAACTGGATCATAAATTCTGAAAAACCGTTAGCCATTTTTAAAATCTTTCACTCCAAAAAGTCAAACTTAGATTTCACCAATTCTTTAATTTCCTGCTTAAATTTTTCAAGATGCTGATTCACAATTTCATCCCTTCTTACAATCTCCTCTAAAAGAAATTCTATTATGTTAAAATCAGGTTTCTGAGACTGGAGACTTAAAACTTGTTCTTGTAATTTGTTAATGGGGGAATCCCCCCCCCACTGCTTGTTTGTCTGACTTTATAAGTCTCAATGCCATGTTTCCGCCCAGACAAACTTTATTAGAAAAGAGAAGAAAACTTCTTTCCAACCAAGAGCAATATCAACTCTCCAGGAAAAGAAAAACACGAAAGTGAAGTTTTGTCTTCAATTGTAGCCAAAGGTATTTATTCTGCTACATTGTGATAATAGAAAACGGAAGGACTTTCCCTTTCAGCCTCTCCTCAAGCCGCGGCAGTCGCCATTTTAAAAATCTTTTTTTCTTTCCTTTTCCTTTTTTTTTCTTTCTTAAATAGCTTTTGAAAAATAAGTAAAATACTTGCGATTCAGGATCACAGGTCCAGCTCACATCTTCTTTAATTACTCTGTTAAATTTGCAGGCTTGCTCTTGACGCCTAGCTCTGCATATAGCAGAGGTCTCCCAAAGCCCGGAGCAGCGGCTGGAGATATGGGGAGTCTCATCCGCTCCGTCCCAAAAGTAAAAGAGAAACTTTTGGGACTATGCAGAGAGCTCTACCCACCCCAGCTGGCTCTATCTCCATTTCCTCATGGAAACGGAGTTTTTTCAAGCCGCCATTCCGTTGTGAAGGCGGCTCTTTACAGGCAGTGGGGCTGACGATCCCGAAAGAACGTCTGGCGGCGACAAGCAGCAAACCTCATGCACACTCTCAATCACATTCTGCATAACTGCTTTATTAAGCACTTGCACCCCCTCCTTAATCATCCATTTTCCATCCACTTTACGCACCCCATCATCCATCATTTGTTTGTTTTCATCATCCGTAAATACAGGCTTCACATCAAAATCCAATGCAGGGATCAAATCATGAATGCCCCTCCTACTAACGCTGCTTCATGTACTAATATGTCCATCATCCTATTTCCCACAACTAACCTCAAAGTCCCTTTTTATGTGCTCCTATATGTATTATAGCAGTGATGGCGAACCTTTTTCTCGTTGCGTGCCGGAAGTGTGTGTGTGTGTGGCGCGATAACGTCCCTGTCAGCCTCAGCTTTCCTGCTTTAGCTGCCATAAGAAACGGGGAGGGATTAGGTATGGATCAAAGGGGGGGAAGAGAGCAGGAGGGGGTTTGTCTTTGTAGGAGGGGACTTCGTGGGAATCGAAACTGGATTTCAGAAGGGGATGGCTAACCAACTGTCTCGACATTCCTGATGGATGACGCTGCCAGACGTGTTGCCACCTGACCTTTGGAAGACCTTTAGATTGGCTGAGAAAATATAAACACGAGGGGGGGAAGAAGCTTAGTAGATGCATTTCGCGCGTTTTGGTCACTTCCAGCTTTTCACTGGGGTGTTAATCTTTTCATATTCAGTAAAAGTACCAAATTCTTCAAAATGCTTGAGTTTGGGGTTTTCTTTCCTGGATACTGAAGGAAGCATACCTGACATTAAGCTGGAAGTCTTCTCAGTCATCCCGGACAAAACCCGAGGGGACTGAAAATCCAAAGTATGTCAGATCGAGGGAGTGATGAAGAAGGGAAGATGGGGGCAGCGAGTTCAACCGCCCTCCAGTCGGAAAGAGAAACTGCAGAATGGCTGGGAAAACTCTGTTTGGAACCGGAGGAGGCCAGATGGTCAAAAGGTGTGGGGAGACTGCCGGACTGGGGGGAGAACCCCCGGGGAGTGACGACTTCCAGACCCCGAAAAAGGGAGGCAGTGTGGATGCAACAGCAGAAGGAACGTCTCATGATAGATCAAGCCTTGCAGCTTATCCGTGATGTGGAAGAAAGCAGAAAAAACCGTGAGTCTTTTGAAACTCCTGTGGAGAAGGGGGAAGCAGACCCCGGGGGGGAGGCCGAAGAGACAGCCTGCGGGGGAGAGGAAGAGTTTGAGGAGGGCACATCCCAGGCTTCGGCAGCTCGAGGAAGAGATGCAGCCGGCCAGAGAACCCCAGCCCTGCAGGGGCCCCCCCCGCAGACGAAAAAAGCCAAAAATCCCCCCCGTTCCTGGGAAGTTTGATGGAAATCCTAAAACCTTGGGATTTTTCCTGACCCAAGTGTGGAACCACATGCAGGATTGGGGGGAGGACTACGAAACGGATGCGGCTAAAGTCAGAAGCGTTGCGAATGCCCTAGAGGGAGTGGCGGCTGAGTGGATGGTAGTTCTCCACAATAACAACTCCCTCCTGCTGAGAAATTACAACCAGTTCATGAGGGCCCTTAGAAGACGTTTTGAAGACCATTTAGCTGAACGAAAGGCGAGACTCAGAATGAAGAGCATTCAGCAGGGTCGGAGGCCGGTGGCAGAGTATATCCAAGAGTTTCGTGAACTGGCACCTTATATGACAGGCTGGTCAGAAATGGCGCTTTTGGAGAGTTTCAAGGATGGACTGAATGATGAGATATATCGAGATTGCAGGAGCATGGGGGTCCCCGATGATTTGGATAGATGGTACATAGTAGCTGAGGATGTGGAGATCGAGCTGAAACGGAGCGAACTCCGAGGAAGGCGGATGGGGGACCAGTCATCCTCTTTCTACCGTAAGGGGGCGGCCAAGATGACTGGCGGGAAGACCGAATTCAAACCCAAGTCAAAGCCCTTCACCTGTTTCAAATGTGGGAAGGAGGGTCACCGGGCGGCCGAATGTTTCTCCAAACCACCGCCAAAAGCCACCGGGGCCAGCCAAAAGAAAAGCGATAAAATACCCGCCAAAACCCGCGGCACCGCCCTGAAAGGAGAAGTCGTTGAGTTCCCTCCCCGGAACCAGCGTGAGTTGGGAACTCCGACCAACGATGACGACAGCGAGACGGACTCCGACTCGGACACCGATGAACGGGTGAGTCACACGGAAGAACCCTTACTCATCCCCGTAGAAGTAAGGGTGCCCTCCACAGGAACTCACGCGCAATTGTTAGCCCTGTTGGACTCGGGGTGCACTAGGTGCATAATTAGCCCCAAAGTAGTGGAGGAAATGGGACTGAGACTGAAAACTTTAAAAAGACCCATTGCATTTTGTCAATTAGATGGGTCGATTGCAGGAGGGGGCCCAGCTAGTTTTATGACCGAACCCCTTGAACTACAGTTGGGGAATCATATAGAAAAGCTCAGCTTTATCGTAGCACCTGGCATGGAAAGGCCCCTAATTCTAGGACTGCCCTGGCTTCGTAAATGGAACCCACGAGTAAATTGGAAAACGGGGGTCCTGCGCATCCGTACGGCAGAACCACCTCCGGAAAAGGAAGGCCCCTCCCTAAGGGACGACATAAGACCAGAAGGGGCCGCAGTAGCCATTAACTATATTGAGGGAGAAGAGAAAATTCCGAAGGAATATTGGGACCTCAAGGAAGTGTTTAGCGAAAAAGCGTCTGATACTCTGCCTCCCCACAGGGCCACTGACTGCACCATTGAAATACTCCCAGGGGTGAAGCTTCCCAAACCAAAAATATACCCCATGACACCTCGAGAATTGGAGGAATTGCGGAATTTTATTGACAAAAACTTAGAACGGGGATTTATCGAACGAGCCAAACCCAAGGTAGCAGCGCCAGTAATGTTCCGCGGAAAAGAAAGATGGATCCTTCAGATTAGTTGTTGATTATAGAAACATGAACGCCATTTGCGTGGAAAATGTCTATCCCCTCCCACTTATGAAGGACATGTTGGCCCATTTAGGAAAGGGAAAATTTTTTACCAAACTTGATTTAAGAGAGGCATACTACCGAGTGAGAATAAAAGAGGGAGATGAATGGAAGACAGCATTTAATTGCCCACTGGGGTGTTTCCAATTTAGAGTACTCCCTTTTGGCCTACAGGGGGCCCCAGCCGTATTCATGCAGTTGATCAACGAAGTGTTGCATGAGCATCTATATAAGGGGGTGTTGGTCTATTTGGACGATATTCTAATTTATTCTGACAACATGGCCGACCATATAAGATTGGTTCGAGCGGTCTTGAATAAACTCAGAGCAGCTGAACTCTATGCCAAACTTTCTAAATGTGAATTCCATCAAGACAAAATCGACTATCTTGGATATCGTATTTCGCATGAGGGAATAGAGATGGACCCGGAAAAGGTCCGGGCAGTAATGGAATGGGCCGCACCATGCACCCGTAAACAGTTACAGAGTTTCTTAGGGTTTGCTAACTTTTATAGACAATTTATCCCCTCTTTCGCAAAAATCGCACTGCCAATTACAAACTTGCTCAAAACCAAAGGGGAAATAAAACCCAAACCCTCGAAACCACTAGATTGGACTATGGACTGTCAGGCCGCTTTCGAAAAACTAAAACGGTTGTTTGCAGCTGAACCTGTGCTCAAACACCCCGACATAGAACAACCTTTTGTAGTACAAGCGGATGCTAGCGACGTTGCCGTAGGAGCAATACTCTTGCAAAAGAATGAGAATGGAATATTACAACCCTGTGCTTACACATCCCGTAAGCTATCTGAGACAGAAAGGAGATGGGCCATATGGGAGAAGGAAGCGTTTGCAGTTAGATGGGCGCTGTTAACATGGAGACAATTTTTAGAAGGGGCAAAACACCCTTTCGAGGTGTGGACTGACCATAAGAATCTAGAAGCATTAAAAATACCACGCAAATTGTCACCCAAACAGGCACGCTTGGCTCAACATTTGAAGCGTTTCAATTTCACTTTACGTTACCTTCCTGGGGGGAAAAATTTCATGGCGGACGCACTTTCCAGATTACCACAGTACAACAGCATAAAGAAGGAACTGGTTCAACCAATGATCCCCTTAACGCAATTGGCAACACCTGTCACTACCAGAGCGCAGAGTAAAACCGATCCAGAACTCTCAGGGGATTTACTCGAAAAGTTACGAGAAGCGCTAAAAACTGACGAGTGGTTTAAAATCCACTTGAATGAATGCACACTTCGCGACGGACTAGCTTGGGTTGGATCAAAATTGTATGTTCCGACCACATTAAGACCAACCGTATTGAAATATGCGCATGATGCCAAAGCCGCAGGACACTTTGCGTTTGTCAAAACTTTACATCTTGTTAAGAGACAGTTTTGGTGGCCTGCACTAAAAAAGGACATACAGGCATATGTGGCTAGCTGTCCAGTATGTGCCTCGGCTAAAAGACCTCCAGGGAAATCCCCTGGATTACTGCAAGCTGTGGCTAGACCGAACGCCCCATGGAAGGAAATATCTATGGATTTTGTTGTGGACTTACCCGACAGTGAGGGCTGCACTGTCATTTGGGTAGTAACTGATTTGTTTTCCAAACAAGTACATTTCATACCTTGCTCAAAGATCCCTTCAGCAAAAACCCTCGCAAAATTATTTATTCGACAGATTTACCGACTACATGGGTCTCCGAAAAGAATAATTTCTGATAGGGGTGTGCAATTTACTTCCAGTTTCTGGAGAGAATTTTTAAGATTGATAGGCTCCGCACAAGGGTTGAGTTCCAGTCACCACCCTCAGACAAATGGTGCTTGTGAAAGAACCAATGGGTGCTCGAACAATACCTTAGGTGTTACGTGAATTACCAACAGGACAATTGGGTAGACTTGTTGCCATTTGCAGAAGTGGCGTATAACAATTCTGTGCATAGTAGCACCGGATTCACCCCTTTTAAGGTTGCATCGGGCCAGGATTTTGTACCCATTCCCGAGTTACCTCAAGATGATCCCCAAAATCCCTCCTTGATAGATTGGATGGAACAATTAAGGAGCACCTGGACAGTGACTCGGAAGGCATTAGATGAGGCACACCGAGCTCATAAGGCACAAGCCGATAAGAAAAGGTCCCCAGCTCACATTTACAAAGTGGGGGATAAAGTCTATTTGTCTACCAAATACTTACAAACCACCCAGAGGTCTAAAAAGCTGGGGCCTAAGTATGTAGGACCATTCCGTGTGATTAGACTGATAAATCCAGTGACAGTTGAATTAGAATTACCAAAAACCTTGAGACGGATACATCCTGTATTTCATGTTAGTTTATTGAAACCTGAACACTCATCTCCCCTAAGGGTTGATCATAGCAACCCTCCAATTCCCATCCTCATAGAAGGGGAGCAACATTTTGAGGTTAAGAAAATCTTGGACTCTAGAAAACACCATGGTAAAGTCCAATATCTAATTGCCTGGAAACATTTTCCACTATCTCAGGCTGAATGGGTAAATAAACGGGATGTCCGAGCTCCCAAGAAAGTACAACAGTTCTATGCCAAATACCCTGATAAACCTTGATCATTGTATATATTCTGTTTCTCTTTCTCTTTCTTCCTTTTATTTAGGACTAACGTCTCTTCTGCAAGAGGGGCCGAATGTCAGCCTCAGCTTTCCTGCTTTAGCTGCCATAAGAAACGGGGAGGGATTAGGTATGGATCCAAAGGGGGGGAAGAGAGCAGGAGGGGGTTTGTCTTTGTAGGAGGGGACTTCGTGGGAATCGAAACTGGATTTCAGAAGGGGATGGCTAACCAACTGTCTCGACATTCCTGATGGATGACGCTGCCAGACGTGTTGCCACCTGACCTTTGGAAGACCTTTAGATTGGCTGAGAAAATATAAACACGAGGGGGGGAAGAAGCTTAGTAGATGCATTTCGCGCGTTTTGGTCACTTCCAGCTTTTCACTGGGGTGTTAATCTTTTCATATTCAGTAAAAGTACCAAATTCTTCAAAATGCTTGAGTTTGGGGTTTTCTTTCCTGGATACTGAAGGAAGCATACCTGACAGTCCCTGCGTGCCAGCACCCATAATGCAATGTGACCCCCCCCAAGCATGCGCATACACACGTGACACCCCACGCATGCACCCCACATTGTGCACACTCCCCCATGCATACGTTCTGCATTGCGCATGCGCAGTCCCCCACATGCGCTTCGTGCCTCCTCACCGCGACTTGTTTTGGCCTTTTGGGAGCAGGGATTGAAGCACAAGAACTGGCTTGGCTGGGAAAAAGGGGGTGGGGGAAAGATCTGCTTTGGGGCTTCCCTTCTCCCCAGCTGAGCTCCAGACCTGTCCAGGGGCAGGGATTGAAGTCCCCAATTGCTACTTCTGGCACCACAAGAACCGCCATTGCCGGGGATGAGGGGGTGCCAGCGCCAGAAGCAGCGGGCTGGGGCTGCTCAGGTGCGGAGACAGGGAAGCCACAGATCGCAGATGCTTCCCACCACTCCCTTGCACCCGGCGGCGGCGGTTCTTGCGCTCCCCTTCCCTAGCGATGGCAGGAGCAGTTGGCGGGGGAGAGAGGGTGGTGGCAGGCTGCAGCAGCAGGCTGGTCGCGCTGGCTACAAGGCAGCAGCGGCTCCTCCTCCTGCCACCCTCGCGCCCCAGGCAGCGTCCAGGCAGCCATATCTGTCCTCCCCCTGTGCCAGCCCACCTGGATTCCAGGCAGCGCAGCTGCAGGGCCTTTCCTCGCAGTGGCGATGGCGTGATGAGGCAAGCAGGCAGCCGGGCATAGGGGAGTGACTGGTGGCAGTGCTCCTGGTTGGCAAGGGGTGATCCCGGGGCTGTATGCGGGCAACGATGGCATGGCCGGTGTGCACCCGCATTAAAGGCCAGCTGATTGTCATGCATGCATACGCACCAGTAACCCGCAGACTAGCTGGCTGGTGCGCATGCGTACCCTGGAAACCCGGAAGAGGAATGGGTGATGCCACGCGTACCAGGCAACATGGCTCTGCATGCCACTTCCGGCACGCATGCCCTAGGTTCGCCAACACTGTATTATAGTCTTTCCAAACAATCTTTTTACCAAAGATCGTTAAAAGCCCACAAGCAAATAAAGCAAAGACTTCACATATTTGTGTCAATCAATAAGAAGAAAACCGTCCAGCTTCCAATACTCCAGCAGTGTCTACATTCACTATTGTATATCTACTCATCCCCGTTCCATTCTCCACCTGGGAAGACCCATCTTCCCATAACCACACAATTATGTCCCACATCGTCCCAAATTTTTCTCTCTCCCCTGACAGGAATTCAACTGGATTTAAATTCCTATTGGTCAAGAGAACTAAATTCTCTTGAGACAATAAAATAATCCCATATTTCAAAAGCCTAGCATTGGTGCACCACCTTTGGGTTTTCCGCATCAGGTTTGTCCTGATGTGGACTACTTCACACCAATGCCCCACCAAAGGTTAATTCTCTATTCTCCTCCACTGAAGGTGCAATTGCAGCTTCAGCTTGTATACACAAGGGCTAACCTTAAACCACAAGATCCATCAATTTTAACAAAAATATTACAGGTCTCTTCTTCCCAGCCCACATATGAACCAACACTCCTTTGGCTATGCCATCTTCCACTGCTACAGACAAGTGGAAGATTTTCCTTAAATCAGGCAAGCTTAACACTGGAACAAACCTATCTTCATCACCTTCCTTCCAAACAACCTCCTATGGCTTTTCATCAATAAATACTCAACTCTTCCCACCTCGGAGGAATCCCCACTTCGGAGGAATCACACCACACCTCTATCACAAGTTAGCTAAACTATTTCCACAAGCTTCAGAGAAATACAAAGCTTGACAAGTCTAAATCACAAGTCTAAACAGACAAACTGGACTTCTG